TAAAAAGTTTACAAGAGTAGATGTAATAGGATTCAATTTAATTTTGAGGATGAGAAAGATCCATAAGCCTAGGGGGAAAAAAAGCCCTCTAATAGTGGTAATTTCTAGGTGGTGAGACGATGAGTAACTTTTTTTCCCCTCTCATATCTTTTTGTTATCTGAAAAAAAGTTTTCACACGCAAGATATATTTCAGTTATAATCAGGAAAGCCAATAAAATCATTTGTATTTAGGGGAAAGAAAAGCTTGTTTATTGCAAAGTCTTGGCAAAAATCAATGAGGCCTGAACTAAAAATGATGGAAAGAGGAGAGAGAGTTGAAGGATTTTGAGAAGCTGACATTCCTGGGATTTGGTGAATGGCTGTGAGGGCGGAGGAAGGAGCCCAGGCTGACTGTGGGGTTTCTGCCCTTAGCGGGAGGGTGGTGTGGGTGTAAGGCAGCATTCTTAGAGGTGTTTGGGACTCAGTGATAGACAAAAACAGAACTTGCAGATTTGTGCAATTGAAAGGTCAATTTGAATTGATAAAATTTTGGAATTCTATTTTAAAAGAAGACAGCATTACTGCTTAATATAGTGTGTACTTCATTTATTAAGTAATTGGGAAGCTCCTGAAGGCAGAAACCCTGTAATCATCCAATTCCTAGCACATAACCTGGTTTGTAGAATGAGTACTCTAAAATGATTCTCGCTGAGTGAGGTTGTCAAGCTCATCTAATAGAATTTGTTTACACACACATTTACATGTGTGTGTATATATATATATATTCTTAAATATATCAAAGGACACATAATTGAGTATATTATGGGGGTACAGTGAGACATAGATATGTGTGTATATATACACACACATATATATGTCTATAAATATATATATATACACACATATAGATATATATATACACATAGACTGATAGTGTATATATGTGTGTGTGTGTGTGTGTGTGTGTGTGTATATATATATATATATAATGATCAGATCAGAGTAATTGGTATGTCCATCATCTCGTATATTTACCAAGTCTTTGTGTTGGAAACACTCAAATCCCCTCTGCTAGTCATTTTTGAAATACACAATTTATTATTGCCTATCTTATTTGCCCTCCTGAAATTTAATAAGAATTTTGTCTTAAATCATTTTAAGGTCCCCACAAATGTTTAGCAAATTGGTTCTAGTTTGTAAAAGGTGGACCATAGTCCTGCATACATATGGCAGAGATTGCTCACAAAATTGTAATGCTTTGTATTACAACATGTGTAAACATATATGTATATACACATACATACACATAATAATTTTACATATAGACATAACTATCTACATATATATAGATATGTTCATATGCATTTTTTCTGTCTTATGCGTATTTTGTTCTACCTTATGAAATTATTTTCCATTAGAGCATGGTTTACTACTACAGTTCACAGTGTCCAAAAAATAAAATATTTTGACTACAAGGCTTTATATTAAAGTGGTGTCAGGATGTTGGAACCAGCCATTCTGGTTCTGAATCCCAGCACCATCACCCCTGCTAGCACGTAGCCTTGGGTAGTTTTAAGTATCTCTCTGTTTTCTCACCTGAGTAAACATGTTATAGGATTTTTTTGATAAAATGAAAGACTCACTATAACATTCTTAGCACAGAACTCAGATATAGTGAGAACTCAAATATCAGCTATATTTTCAATCCCTTTTGTTTATCTTCTGGGATGGACTGATTACAGAAAGTACAGGATTTCCTGCATCTCATTTATGATGGGATTTCTTTGATTTATCTTGAAATGTAAATATATACTCTCTGAAACCTTCCCAACACAACTAAAGTCTGTGTTCATCTTAAGGAAGAACAAAAGAGAAAGCTTGGGCTGAGGTTGGATCTCCAGGGAAAGGTCATTCTAGGTAGCATCAGCCTGGATTTGTGGCTTTTAATGAATTGTAAGCAATGTGAAGAACGACTAGTATTGAGGCTGGGGTGCACTCTTCAGATGATACCAAGCCAGGTCCCAGCTGGTCAGCTCCCTACAAACAAAAGCAAGCCACACCTGGCCTGTGGAGAGTCCAAGCTAAGCAAACCCTTATGCTGATAAGGCTTAGCATCCGGTGACAAGTTCAGTATTACCTGGAAGGAGACAGAGGGCCTGGCTGATTACATGTGTAGTGCCCTTATAAACCTCTGTGATCCTGAACCACACATGTATGCAGATTGCTGCTCCTCATGTTGATGTCTCACAGTGGGAGGTGAGGGTTGAGAAAGAAAATATTTGGATGAAGTTGTAGACAGCTCATGTGTGTCATTTGTTCTTCCTGTAGGGTCCACATCAGTTTAGTACCAAATGATGTCAGTCACAAGAAAGCAAAAGCCTGCCATTCGTTACACATCTTTGGAATACATTACTTGGTACTTTCCTTCCCTGTCACCACTTATGCTATAATCTAGGGGAAGCTTTGACACAAAATTACACACACACACACACACACACACACACACACATGTACACACACACATATATATATTGTATATATATTTTTTGTATATTATACATGCATTTTTTCTTGCGGTTTAATGTTCATTTCATTTTTGACTATACCTTCTATAGTATAACATGAAATAAGACCCACTAAGTATTTTGCACACTTGATTCTTTCTTTCCGAAGTTAACTACATAGGGACCGAATAACTGAAGTATCTCAAGAATAGCATTTACTTAGCATATATTTTTTTCTGGAAATAAAGAGCACAATTCCAAAGTTGAGAGTGTCAGATTCTAATTCAAAACTTCTAGAATAACAAAAGCTCTAGGAAGAAACTTGACAAGCTGCCTTAATGATGTTTAGGGTGAATACAGACGTTCTCTCTCTCCTTCCCCCATGCTTTTTCAAATCCTCTTCCTTCCCAGCTCCACAAAAAGAAAAAGGGGGATAAAAAAGAAGCCTTTGCCTCTTGTTGGCAGTAGAATTTATTCCATAATTTACTTTTTCAGCCAACTGCAGTCATTGCCCTTGCCTCTGGGCACTTGTTCAAAAACACAGAAATGAAATAACAGATTGGCCAGACCGAGCACAACTCCCCAGTCACAACCCTATTATCTCCTCGTTCTGTCACCCCCATTAGGCAAAGGCCTGGGAGACCGGATGGTGACAATGCGTATTTATGTAGCTCGCACATCTCTGCAGCTCTAGGCTTTCTGCCGGTGTCCCTCTTCCCCCTTGTTCCTCCCCATGCAGGACCACTGAGAATAGGTCTGGGGCAGCTGACCCCTAAGTCTGCACTGCAGCCACCTCTGCGTTTCTTCAAGGGCTCTGAGCCACCTTCCTATCTGGGAAAGAGTCTTCACCCTGAGAAAACCAGAGCCAGACCAAGGGACCCACCTCTCCTGCTTGTGAACTGCCTACCTGTGAATGGACATGGTGGGAGCTGCAGTGTGTGGATTTTACTGAATCTCTGATCTATCTCAATTACCAGGAGGAATTTGGTTTTGTAATATTTATAACCATTCTCTTCAGGTCAGATCAAACAGCACATTGCTTCACTTAATATCAGCTGTGTATGGTCTCTGCTGGGCCATCTCTGGAAAAAAAACAGAGATGTCTCTGAATAGGACAAAGGTAGAAGAGAGGAGGAGGGTCTCTGTTTAATCATGGCAGGATTATTTTCTGATTATTGCCTCCTGGGGAAATTCCTTGTAATATTATAGGCATGAGGTGCAAACATTGACTATGGGATCATTCCCCACTTGGGGAAATGTTAAAACAGGGAAGCTGTATAGGGCTGAGGATGTAGCTCATTGTTAGATTGTTGGCCTACCATGTGGGAGGCCCTGGGTTCCATCCCCAGTACTGCAAAAAGTAAATAAAAATAAATAAATTGTAGAGTCCATATAAGAGAGATCCACAGGAAAGCACTTTTTCTCTCTTTTGGAACAGTCTACCTTGTGGACACTGTTCATTTGTGATGGTTGACTTTTTGAACTGGTTTATACTCTACCTTGTATTCTGTACAGTCCATGCACTTGTTCAATGTAGCCCCTTAATTACAGTCATTCATGATTTAATGAGGTATATTCTGAAAAATGTACCCTTGTTAGGTTATTGTATCATTATGGTTAATTGGTATTAATGCAAAAATCACAGGGTACACTCTGTAAAAATTGAGATAGCTGTGATGTCACTATGCCTTATAAATCTTATGGAACTGCCTTCATATATGAGGTGTATTATTGACCAAAATGTCATTATACGGCACATAACTGTACTTTGATTAGTAATTCTAAGAGGAGGTGAAAATTTTGGGTTATACTTCTTGATTTTTGCCCCCAACCTCTTTTATGCAACTGGATAGTAAACACATCTGGAGTCAGATCAGATTTTATAAGAGTCCTACCCTGTTCAGAACCACCTATTCCCTGAGCATGGTAGTGCAAGCCTATAATCCCAGGAACTTGGGAGGCTGAAGCACGAGGATCGTGCAAATTCAAAACCAGCCTCGGCAACTTAGTGAGACCCTGTCTCAAAATAAAAAGTAAAAAGGACTGAGCATACAGCTCAGTGATAATGTGCCCCAGCGTTTTAATACCCAGTGTGCCTCCCACCCCCAGGAAAACAAAAAACAGAACCACCAATTCAGCCCTTGTCCCCTACAGATCTCTGTCCATTAAGAGGTGAAACCAGAAGGAGGGCCTCTCTGCCAGGAGACTAGCATTGTACTGAGAAAATGAGGAGAGCACACAGCTTAATGATTTTTAGACAGATGGATTTTCCCCTGAGAAGAGCAGGATTTGATTTAAATTAATCCACCCTGGAGAGAATTATTGCCATGTGTGGGTTCTGCCCAGGATATGTGGGAGAGGACAATTCCTCTCCCCTTCTAGGTGAGAAAGAACAGGGTGAAATGGAAGCCTCTGCTTAAGGGGGAGAGGGCTTGTTTTAAAGCTATAATTGCTTCTGCTGCTGCTGCTGATGATGATCAAATCCTAACCGCCCTGTCCTTTGCTTTCTACATCAGCTCACACCCCAGACAACAGTTTTCTGGGGTTTGTGGTCGAGCAGCACCTGAACTCCAGCGACATCCACCACATTAACGAAATCAAAAGGCAGAACCAGTCCCTTGTGTATGGCAAAGTGGATAGCTTCTGGAAGGTGAGTCAGCCTGTGTACGTGTCACTCTCTCTGAAGAGCAGCTTGTTGGGTAATTTAATTTAACTTTGATCCAGAGAGTAATCAAGCCAAGTGCCCAGGGCTTAATGGGATCTGCTTAGACGTAAACAAGAATGTTCAGGGGTTGGTTGCTGCAGTATTTGGGCATCTAACCAAGGATTTAGTTGGTCATCCATCCTTATAGCAGCTGTACAGCAGACCCTTTAACTCTGCAGGTCCAAAGTGACACCTTGTAGCTTCTTTCACAGTCAGCCAGTATCCGAGGGTTCCACATCCACACACTCAACCAACTGCAGATTGAATGTATTCTGGGAAAAAAAAAAAAAATTGTGTCTGTACTGAAAATATACAGACATTTTTTTTCTTGTCATTCTCTTAACAATACAGAACAACAAGTATTTACATAGCATTTACATCATATTAAGTATTTTAAGTAATGTGGAGATGATTTATAGTGTATCGGAGGAAATATGTAGATTCTATGCAAATACTGTGCTATTTTATATAAGGTACTTAAGCATCCTCAGATTTTGTTATTCTTGAATGTCCTATGACCAATCTCTTGTGGATATAGAGGGAAAATGGTACTTGTTTCCAAGAGCAAGGGCTCCATGGGTGCAGATGTCTTTCTGAAGCTAGGCACTTCACAGAGACCCTTTGCCAACTGAGTTTTTGCCTCTGCCCTGTGAAAAAACAGTCAGTGAAGGTAGGCAGCTCCCTTTCCTGGGGAATGAGGCAGCTTCATGATCTTTGATTATGGTCAGTTCACACTTATCCTGGAAAGGTGGTTGGTAGGCAGCTTGCTCAGGGAGGCTGAATGAAACAGAGCTGAACCAGATGTTCCAAGAGCACCCAACTATTGGGCCCCAAAGGGTCTCCCTGCCCTCCTGAGATGATTTCCACAGTATACCTGAGGCAGGTACAATAATAGACAAACCAGACAGGGTGTGACTTGTTGATGGGCAATGCAAATTCTTTTATATGGCAAATTAGCCTCAGAAGACGAATGCCATAATTTTGAGGAATGTTTGTAAAGGGCAGAAATCTCCAGAACTTCAAAACATGATTGTTCTTAAATAAAACCCTTTACTGAAGGATCCATAAATTGTGGTTTCATGTTATCATGTCTCGGCTATCGAGGAAGTCAGAAATCCTGCAACTGAGGGAACACAGCTGTGCAGGGTGATGAGTCCCTTTTTTTTCTGACTCATGTTCAGAAAAGGAAAGGCAGTGTCCCATCCCTCAGCTCTGTAGTGCTAAGTATTGCAAAGGGACAATGATTTTGGTCTGTTTCAAGGGACACTGATTTAATTCCAGATAAGGGAATTTGTTATACTAAACCAAGAATCTTGCTGTTTATAGTAGTTCCCAAATGGGGACAGTTTTACTCTGCCTCCCACCCCACCCCACCCCACATCCACCAGGGGGATATTTGGCAATGTCTGGAGATCATTTCAATTGTCACATCTAGGATGCATACTATAGCATCTAATAGGTGGAGGCCAGGGATGCTGTAAACATCCTGCAATATACAGAGAAATACCTGCGTCAAATATCATTAGTGCCAGGACTACAAAGCTCTGGCTAGTAAATAAGAATTATTTCCTATGTCTATTACAGGTTGAACATTCCTAATCCAAAAATTTGAAATCCAACATGATTTTTGAGCTCTGACATGATGCTACAAGGTGTGTAAGATCCCACACCAGACCTCATGTGATGGGTCATAGTCAAAACTCTTGTACACTAAAAACATTGTATAAAATTCCCTTCAGTTTGTATGTTCAAGGCATATATGAAACGAAAATGGAACTTTGTGTTTTACATGTGTGTCCCATCTTTAAGATACTTCATCATAAATATGCAGATATTCTAAAATCTGGAAAAAAAATTCAAACACTCTCAGTTTCAAGTATTTCAGATTAAGGATACTCAACCCATATTCCCCACACTTTCTCCTCTCAAGTAAAATAAAATCAATCTAGATTTAGCTGGTTGAGATGCCCCTATTAATTTATATATCTTTGCTTCCCCTGTATCAAAACGTGCCCCATGTTGATGGTGCATTTTGAGATGATTTTTCAGCTGAACTCTGGTTAAGAAGGGCATGTTGGGTGTTCTCATTCGCAGTGTGGTTGTAGCATGGGTGGATCACGGCACTGACTTTAGGAACAGCCAGCCTTTTAAAGGGTGCAACTATCTTCTCTGCAGCTGCTCAGAGAAAATAGCTTGTATATCTGAGCGGGCTTGACCTTGAAATGATATCACTTCTGTTTTGGAACCAAATGCAGCCCCCTTCTGGGTGCCTCTGGCAGCGTTGTCTGTTTCCCTAGAAAAGCAAGACAATAGTTTGGTTGTGAAACCTTTTGGGTTGCCTGTTTGGGTTAAATTAATGCTACCACTAAAACCACGATGTCTTTGATGCCAGTCAGAATCCCAGAAGTGTTAACTATGTTGCTTAAATGATCAGTGACATGATTTAGAAATTCCTCTGTATTTTGACCTGTTAAAACTATGCAGGTGATCTGATCTTCCACATACCAGTGCCACCTAAGGATTACAAATGGCTTAGTGACACTGTGTCTACATTCATCTTTTCCTGAGTACTCAAAATCAAGGATGATGTTTCAATTTTATGACATCATTCCAGCATTCTGTGCCAAGAAAAGCCCCCCAAAAGATGAAAATACTTTAAAATTTTCACATGTATTCAAGACATCCTCTTCAACTTTTGAACACAGAATAAACATGGGAGACTTTAGGTTTGTTCTCAAAATATCCCCATCCCAGAGTATTTCATGAATATATACAGAAAACAGATGTGACTTTTAAGAGAGATGTGATTCCAACCACATTGCCAAAGCTGCGTTCAACCCCAGCTTTAGTGAGTGGGAGGGTTTGTAAATGTTTTTTCTCCATCCTGCAACCCTTTGCCTTAGAGATCTTCTGGAAAGGAAGTAAATTCTGTCGGTCCTGGGAGGTTTAGGGTTTGAGGTGGAAGAAGGCACAGTGTGGACCAGATGATTTTTGAAAGACTCACCTTCACCCTCAGGTTCTAGAACTCTCTGAATTCTGAAAGTGCCTGCCTCACTCTTACACCACCTTCCCTTTTGAGGGCATCTCCGAATCTACCCAGGCACTTGAGAGGGCATTGCCACCACGGGACTCCCTTCTAGCCGAGTCTGATTGCACCTACAAGTTATCCTGTAACCCAGGAAGTCCAGCTCACTGGTGTTTGGAATCATGATCCTGGCTCAGAAAACTGAGTCTTATGAGATTCTTGGGTTGGTGTTAGAATCAGAAGGACAGTGACAGTAGGCTATGGGGATAGAAATCCAAATGACAGAAATCCAGTTACCTGGCTGAAGTTGTGAGGCCAAGACAGAAAGTTTTCAGGAGTCCAGATGAGGAAGAAAGGACCCAGGCTGAAAGGAGAGGATGCTGTCAACAGAGTGATGAAGCCCATCCTAGGGAGGAACGTTACCACCATGGGAGAATGGTGTGCCTTGGGGAGATAGGCCGACAGATATAACCCCTGAAACCTGGGGATAAGAGGAAATCGCTTCCAGAGTTCCTGGAAACTTACTTTTTCCACATCACGAATGCCTTTCTAACGCTTCATTCCCTTTCAGTATTCAAGCACTTTCTGTTCTTTTTAGTCATATCAAAGGTATCTACTAAACTATGTAGGTCTTCCTGTATTCCAAACGCCTGTGCAGAAGCACAGTGTATTAATACAGAAGGCCAAGGAGCAGCCTCCCTCCACAGACACACATTCCTGTCTCTGTTATGGCTGAGGTTCCCAGTGGTCTTGTCCTGATGTTATATACATGATGGAAAAGTAGGTAGGAAGGAGAGAAGAAGGGAGCTTGCTACTGGACTATAGAATCCCAGAGGCACTAGAATAGGAAGCATCTCTTCCCAAGACCCTGAGCATCAGATGAGAGTAATTAAACCTAATCCCAAGTGCAAGTCTCTCTTCTTAACTGGTGAAGGCACAGCTCTGGACTCTGGGCCTCTTCCTCTGGGATAGTCTGAGCACTAACTCTGGCAATTCCAGAAATGTGCCTAGAAGAAGCATTGTCTTTCCAGCTGTCCATGTTCAAAGACTTCCAACATCCTGCTACCTGAAGTCATCAGGGAATGGAAAAATCAGTCAATTTTTTTGAAAATATATAATTTGGAGGTACAGAAATTAAAATTAATTGAAGTCTTGCTTAACTGTTTTAATTTAATTTCTAGTTTTCTTTAAAATTAATATCCTGAGCATAACTGAGTCTTTGGACCGTGAGGCAGGGTCAGTGTTTTGCATGTTCATGGTCCCACCATGATGTTCTTAAGACTTACTAATAAGTGATTGCTGCTGAAGCAAACATGCTGGAGACCTTGCTTTGACCACACAGGGAGAACAAGCTCAGCCCCCAAGTCACAAGCTGGTATTTAGACTCAAACAACTTATCGTATGTGAAGTACTTAACCTTCTTGATCTGTGATGTGGGTCAGTAACAACTACCATGCAGCGGAGCGCTTCCCATCATAACAGTATATACAGATCACCTGGAGTCTTGAGGAAATGCAGGTTTTGGTTCGAACCTTCAGGGTGAGAAGAAGACCCTGCGTTCTCAGGAGCACACAGGTGACAGAGATGTGCTGTTGGCAAAGCCCACTTCTAGGAGAAAGGTCTGGAGTGCTTGGGATTCTGTAGAGCGCTGGGCCTCACATAGCTAGCTGACCAGTCTTCTTGGGACTTTTCTGCTATGTTTTTCAGCCTATCATCTCTCCTGTCACTTTTTACTGCTCTTAGTGCAGTGGACTGATTCCAGTCATCCTAATCTCACTTCTCATAAGCACATTTACAAACCTGGCTACTTCTGGTCCCTGCTGCCTGGCCCTTAGAATGGGATGAGCCTGTGGTAGGTGGTGGACTCTCAGAGGTGAGAGAGGCACACTGTGTCCACTGTGCTCTGCTGTCCTGGTGTGTA